ATGGTGATCGCATCTCCACCAACCATGAAGAAGGACTGAAGTCAAACAAATTTATAAATACACATGTAGAACAATGCACAGTAAAGATAATCATGATAGATTTATGCACAGGGGTTTATTAATACTGACACCTCAGGAATGTAAACATACAAGAATATTCTAATTTAGTGTTTTTGAACATATTTTTTGCCACAAGCTCAGCCCGAAACGTAATAACCTTCTTTTAAAAGGAGATGACCGCTTTGTATTTGGAAACCTGAATTTTAATGACATAAGATAAGGCTGTAGGCTCAATTCCTAATACAGGTTAAGTCCCCGACTTACACCAGTTTGTTTAGTTTGAAGTTAAAGTGGTACTGAAAAAAGTAACTTATGACCATTTTTCACACTTACGACCATTGCAGCATCCCCAAGTCACACGATCAAAATTTAAACACTTGGCAACTGATTCATATTTACGATGGGTGCAGCATCCCCTTCTGTGACCTTCTGACAACTATCTTGCTTAGTGGAAGAAATTTTGGCTTCAACTGTGGTTTTAAGTCAAGGACTACCTGTAATGATGAGCAGATGATCATTTCAAGGTTAGCTCCTCGTTCTCACATTCTGAGACAGCTTGAAGAGGCCTTCCCTTAACTAGCTTGCTAATCAATGAAAGCAAGAACCAAAATCAACTTCCTTCTGCAAACAACTCTTGCTTTGTCAAGGAAGATTCTCACTCATTCAGGTAGAGCTGTCTGGAAGTTGTGTCACGGCAACGGGACTTTTCACGTTGGTTCAAAACATTTTGCTGCTTATCCAAGTAGCTTCTTTAGAGTGAGCAAGATGGTTAGGTGAACCCCATAGATCAGGGCTTTTCAACCTTTTCACCCATTGTACCACTTTTAGGATATGGCAACATCCGAGTACCATCAGTCGCCTAGCAAGGTGTCAAAAACTTGATGACAAAAAAAAAAAAAAACAAGGAAAAAAGTGATGAAGTACAGGTAGTCCTCAACTTATAACAGTTCGCTTAGTGATGTTCGAAGTTACAATGGCACTGAAAAAAGTGCCCCCCAAGCCACAGCCAAGCAAGACACCTGCCTGCCTGCCCAGTGGCACTCTTCCTCCTGTCCAAGTTCATTGTTGTGGCAGCGGGGGGTGGGGTGGTGTGTTTGGTTTTTATTCTCTCCCCCCCCCTCTGCTGGGTGGTTGCAGCAGGTTTTGGTCACTTCACATGACCCTGGGACACTGTGGGTCATAAATATGAATCAGTTGCCAAGCATCTGAATGTAAATCACAAGACCCTGGAGATGCTGCAACGTTCCAGCTGATCGGGGCTTCTTCTGGGCTCAGCAGAAGCACCAGGATCAGCGCCGAGCTCCAGCTGGAACCTGGCGCTGATCCTGGTGCTTCCACTGAGCCCTGACAGTCCTGCAGCTCCAGCCGTCTCTCGCTCAGGCTTGTGCGGTGCTGCCATCAGTTCAGCTCATTCCCCTCCCCCGCTACCCCTTTTCTAGGATGGTTGCGTACCACCTGCCAGGTGCCAATGTACCACAGGTGGTACCCGTACCACTGGTTGAAAAGCCCTGCCATAGATGTCCTCCAGAGTGGTTTCAATTCTCAGCTAATCTGAATAGGTTTGTTAGCCGAGTAAGCAGAGAGTCATTAAGAATTGTTGCTCCTAAAGTCCAGTTGCCCTGAACTCAACTTCCAGACAATGGATGCTAAGAATTTTGCCTAGGTCAGGGATCTTCAAACTTGAACCCTTTTATGACTTGTGGACTTCAACTCCCAGAATTCCTCAGCCAAAATTCTGGGAGTTGAAGTCCGCAAGTCATAAAAAGGCCAAGTTTGAAGACCCCTGGCCTAGGTAGTCCTCAACTTAACAATTATTCATTAAGTTAGGTATGTCAAACTACCGGCCTGCGGGCCGGATGCATCACGACGAAACCGCGCCCACCCCATTGCCGGCAATGGGGGAAAAGTCGTGATACGTCGAGCAATGTCACGCGACGTTGCGAGTTTGACATGCCTGCATTAAGTCAGTGGTTCTTAAACTTTTTGAACGAATCGCCCCCTTGAGCCAATGAGGAAGTTGTCATCGCCCCCCTCCCCCAACATAACCTCTCAATCACAACATAGGAAATAATTCTTCGATTTATGCAAACACTTGTTTTGTTTTCTTTAAAATTGTCATCAGGACATATCGATGCAAATAATTTATTTCCAGTCTTTTCCCCATATCTCCCATATTCTGGCCAATGGCGCGCCACTGTATGGGTAGAGGCTGCTGCGCAACACTCATGAAGGTAAGCGATGCGTATTCACATATGTACAGCATTCTCTCCTGAAGCTAGCTGGAGGAACATTTGAAAACACAATTCAATCCACTAATAGCGAGTGATCTGATGTTTTTGTACGACAGATACACAGCGATTCACTGTACGAAAAAGTCTCAAGTGTCCCCAAAACATCTCACTCCATCCCCCCCCGTACCGCCCCCTTTTCATTCAATCGCCCCCCTGAAAAATGAAATCGCCCAGGTTAAGAACCACTGCATTAAGTGATCATCCAAAGTTATGAAAGTTCTGAAAAAAGTGACTCACGATGGACTTCATACTTATGACCATTGCAAAATCCCTGGTCCCAAGATTGTGATCCAGGTGCTTGGCAGTTGGCTCACATTTATGATGGTGGCAACGTCCCAGAGTCACGCGATCACAATTTGCAACCTTCTCAGAGGGCTTCCGAGAAGCAGTCAGTAAGGAAGTTGGCAGGGATGGTTGCAAATTGCGATCAAGTGATGTCTTGCTTAACGAACACACTGCTTAGAACAATGACTTTTCTAGCCCCCAATTGTAGTCGTAAATTGAGAACAGCCTGTACTCCTTTCCCAGGATTCTCTTACTCTTGACAATGAACTTAACTAATGAAAACGTTTTGTGTATCTTTTTTTCTGGCTTGTATTCTGCTCCTATGATCTGACTTTTAACAAAGCAAGCATTTTCCTTCCCCGATATAATTTCACCGGGGAAAAACCAAGCAAAAACTTTAACAAGAGTCATTGGCGCAGCAGTTAAGAGTGCAGTACTGCAGGCCACTTTAGCTGACTGTGTTCAGCAGTTCAGCGGTTCAAATCTCACCAGCTCAAGGTTGACTCAGCCTTCCATCCTTCCGGGGTAGGTAAAATGAGGACCCAGATTGTTGGGGGCAATATAATATATATATATACATTGCTTACTGGTGTACACTGCTTAGAGAGTGCTTGCACTTAAAGCGGTATATAAGTCTCATAAATAAATAAAATAAATAAATTCAAAATATTGAGCTTCAGCCTTTTGCATCTTATATTCAATTTATCAATGAATCTGGGTTTTAATGATATAAGAAAAAAGCTGTTTCCCCTCCCCCAAGAAATACATTAAAGTATACCGTATTTTCCGGCGTATAAGACGACTTTCTAAAGCATGCAAATCGGCGCTGAAGTCGGGGGTCGTCTTATACGCCGGAAATTACGGTAGTTTCCAGCATATAAGACGACTTTCTAGGCATGCAAATCGGCGCCGAACTCAGGGGTCGTCTTATACGCCAAGTCGTCCTATACGCCAAAAAATACGGTATATTTTTGTTTGCAGGCATCAGGTTACTACTTAATTCTTTATAGCAAGTTTTCAGATTTACAATTTTAATGGCTTATCTGATCTCTCTCCTCTAGATTACTTCTGTATTGGGTGGGTGGTATACATGAATTGGATGAAAACCGCGGTTTCCTAAACAAATAAATCCTGACAGTCAAAACCAAAACTTTTTTATTGAGAAACACAGACTTATTCTGAAACTACTTCCTTCTACGTGGTGATTGTAAAGAACATGGCTTTGTTCCTTCTATGTCTGGTGTGTCAAAACTGCCGGCCTGCAGGCCAGATGCGTCATGCTACACACCCCAGGTCCAGCAATTGGGGAAAAAGTCATGATACATCGTGACACGACATGGCGAGTTTGACACCCGTTCTACTTTTTAAAAAGAATCCTCTAATCTTTTAAAGCAGTGGTTCTCAACCTTTTTAATGCCGTGACCCCCAACCGGTCGTAAGTCGAGGACTACTCAACTGGTGCAGCACCGTTTGCAGAATGGGACTTTTGGCGGGCTCAGCAGGGCAGAGACAGCCTGGACAATTCCTATTGGCTTTTGAAATCCAATAGAATTAGACTCTATTCAAGAGAGTCTATTCTATTGGCTTTCAAAAGCCAATAGAATAAAAGGGAGTAGCACAGCTAAGGAAAGGGGGGGGGGGAAATGGCAGACTGCGTTGTTTGGCGACCCCCGTGAAATGGTCGTTCGACCCCAAATGGGGTCCCGACCCACAGGTTGAGAACCACTGTTTTAAAGGGAGGCTTTATTTTTCTAGGCAACTTTTGGACCAAGGTTGACTGTGGCAATAAAATAGACTCACAAATAAATTTGAAGATCCTCAGGTGATTGATTGGCTCTTGTTCCTGTTGGCTGACCCAGACTTCAGATTTTGAACTGTGCAGCAGAGCAAACAACAGGTTGAATAATGAGCAACTGTCTATCTCCAGTGTGTATTTTGGAGATAAAACTGGCATTCCTGATGTAATCCAATCTCATCTTCAGTTTACCTTTTCATGGCTCTCAAGGATGATTCATAATCTGAAGCCGGAGCACTGCTAATTCTAAGTTGCCTACATTTTACTAACATGACCTTGTTCTCAAGGCTCGTATTGGGCTAACCCAGTGGTTCTCAACCTGTGGGTCGGGACCCCATTTGAGGTCCAACAACCATTTCACGGGGGTCGCCAAACAATGCAATCACCATTTCCCCTCCCCCTTTTCCTTAGCTGTGCTACTCCCTTTTATTCTATTGGCTTTTGAAAGCCAATAGAAGAGACTCTCTTGAATAGAGTCTAATTCTATTGGCTTTCAAAAGCCAATAGGAATTGTCCAGGCTGTCTCTGCCCTGCTGAGCCCGCCAAAAGTCCCATTCTGCAAACGGTGCTGCACCAGTTGAGTAGTCCTCGACTTACGACCAGTTGAGTAGTCCTCAACTTACGACCGGTAGGAAGTCGCGGCATTAAAAAGGTTGAAAACCACTGGGCTAACCAGTAATTGGACTTGATCCTAGCTAACCGGGGATCATTTTTGCACCTCATATCTAAATACAAGAAGTGCTACATGGCCAAGCTGATCTTGCCTTAAGTCTTGCCTTATGTTTATGTCAGGAAGTGCTCCCTATGACGTAACATTTCTTAAATCTGTGCAGCTTCCTGAAATGGAGACTAAGATGGAGGAAAAACTTAAAAGGTGTTCTCTTTCACTCCACACCGCCAGTCATTTGGCCCAGGGTTATTCTGCTATTCCAGCTCCAGAGTAAAACGGAAATATAATTTCATGCAAAATTGTTTTTGTTAGGTTGGAAGAGTGGGTGGTGACGGTGACAGAACTTGTTGAGGTGGGCAAAGGGACTATTCTGATTGGAGAAAGGAGAAGATCTACACGTATTGGTGAGTGGAAACCCTGCGATGGACTTTTGGCCTAAAATGAAACCCATCACCTTGTACCAATAAAAGAGAACATTTGTAGTTCAGGGTTGAAAATGAGGGGTCCTTGGTGCTCTCTAAGCTTGCTTGTTGTCTTGCAGAAGTTTCATTGCCCAAAATAGGGAACATCAGTGCTGCCTTGTGACTTATGGTTTTGATGAATAGACAGCATAGTTTTTCACCAAGATGCAGCATGTCGTGATGTGACATTAGAGAGGGAGGTTAAAATATCATTGTGCTTATACCTGCTGGGAAGACTATTGCAACCTACTTCTTTGTATGTATCAAAGGTAGGCAACGTTGGCTCTTTTATGACTCGTGGACTTCAACTCCCAGAATTCCTGAGCCAGCCATGCTGAGGGGAAAGGGAGAGGTTTCCAAGAGGAGCCATACTGGCTCAAGAATTCTGGGAGTTGAAGTCCACGAGTCATAAAAGAGCCAACGTTGCCTCCCCTTGGTATATATCATTAATTTCCCTGTTTCGCACTTCCTTCTAACTTTTTTTCTTACGGCGCTTTTAGCTTTTCTTTTATTTCTGTTTTCTTTTAGTTTTCTCTGTTGTTATAGTTTCAGTTCTTATCACTGCAGTTAAAACTTTTAATGTACGTTGTTATATGTATGTGTATGTATATATACACAGACATACATACATGTATATGCTGCACGTGTGTTTGTGTGTGTGTGTGTACATGCACACACACACACAAACACTGTATACTTTAAATAAGATTGGAGCAAACTCAAATTGAATTAAGCCAAGCATCTATGGAACACTGATGTTAATAGCAATCATCCTTTAAGTAATGTTTGTTAACCTATCCTGGTAATCTATGTTTCTCCTAACAAGGCCCTTCTTGAGTGATGTGATTTTTGACCCTCAGCAGGTCCTGATAAGTTGCCGACTGTTCAAATATTCTCAAACATTCCCATCCATTTCTCCAATGTAAGATATCAATTGTAATTCAGTAAAAGTAAAACGTTAAGCACCAATAAATACCGAAACAGCTACTTTTGATTAACGGGTTGGGCTACATCAATTTTTAATTTACTAAAAATGCATCTTGGATGCATGCTCGGCTGTGGGGGGGGGGAAGCAGCCCCCCTGGAGATGTTGCATCTTTATTAATTTTTTATGAACTGAAGGCACTGGACATATCTAATGTTCCTTCGTGCTATTTTCCCTACAATAGCATGCACATTTGTTAAAAGGTTTCCACAAACCCCTCTCACCCACCCCCACCCCACAATATTCCTTGGTTTGTTCTTTATGCCGATGGCAAATCAAGTAAACATCGGCAACTGTAAAAACACAAACGTTTTGTGCTCCTTTGTAGAGCAAAATCAAGAATCCTCACAATCCTCCAGCTGCATTCGTAAGATTCCTCTCTTGTGGAGAAACCACAGCTGTAAGAATTCCTCCGGCATGGCGTGGAAGCCGGAATCTGGCAAGATGTTATCGTAGTAATGATGGCTAATATACCGCCCATGGAGGTCCACTGAAAAGGGCCAGAAACCATAAATTGTCACTTCTTCACAAAGACCAAGAGCTGCGCTGACCAAGAAGAGGCCGGTTGAAAGCCGCTTAGCGTGAATCCCTTTGCTCTTCCAAAACTTGCCAATGTCCCGTAGGAAGTTAGGGTTGGCAAAGATCACCTTTTGCTTGGCTCCCACGTCAGTGAGGGTATAGTACACTCGGAGAGAAGGTTGAGTCCCTATTTTCATGGAGAAAGCTGGCATATAGATGTAGCTCTGGTTGTAGACTTCAACGCTGTCCACAAATGTTTTTCGGGACCAAAGAAGATTCTGGAATCTGAGAAGAGAAGAGAAGAGAAGAGAAGGGAAGGGAAGGGGGAGGAGAGGAGAAGAAGAGAAGGAAGAAAAGAGAAAGAGAGAAAGAAAGAGAAAAAGAAAGAAAAGGAAATAAAAAGAAAAAGAAAGAAAAAGAAAGTTAAATGGTAAGTTCATGCTTTACCAACTACTCAAAGCAGACTATGGAAAGTCCCACAAAATATCGACAAGAATAACTTGTCAAAGTTAGTGAAGATTTAGGGTCTCACTGCAACTAGGATCAAAGAAATAAGCTCGTGCTTCCCAACCAAGGCCACTTTAAGGTGCGTGGGCTTCAGGAATTCTGGGAGTGGAAGTCCACGCATCTTAGAGTAGCCACAGTTGACAAACATTGCAATAAGAAAGCAGGTTAATTTAAATCAATGCAGATGGTAAGTCTTGGGTTTCTGAGAGGGCTGTCCTAAGCATTCTATAAAATGGTAGCTACTGGTGGTCTGCAACTTATGACCACAATTGAGCCCCAAATTTCCATTGCTAAGTAAGACAGTTAAGTGAATTTCGTGATTGACCCATCCAGTTGGTTTTCATGGCTCAGGCGGGATTAGAACTCAATTGTCTCCTGATGATTGGCCCAAAGTCAGCCAGCTGGCTTCCATGCCTAAGGCGGGACTAGAACTCACAGTCGCCTGATGATTGGCCCAAAGTCATAAAAAGGTGGTTTTCATGCGTAAAGCAGAACTAGAATTCGCCATCTCCAACTTTCTAGCCTGGTGCTTTTAGATCAAATAGTCCTGCTTTCATGGCTAAAGCAGGACTAGAACTCACAGACTCCTGTTTTTTAGCCTGGTGCCTTAATCACTAGACCAGGGGTAGGCAACCTTGGCTCTTTTATGACTCATGGATTTCAACTCCCAGAATTCCTTAGTCAGCATGGCTCAGCTTGGAAACCTCTCCCTTTCCCCTCAGCATGGCTGGCTCAGGAATTCTGGGAGTTGAAGTCCATGAGTCATAAAAGAGCCAAGATTGCCTACCCCTGGCCTAGATCAAACTGGTTATCTCACTCCTCTAGAACAGGGCTTTTCAACCAGTGGTACGGGTACCACCTGTGGTACATTGGCACCTGGCAGGTGGTACGTGACCATCCTAGAAAAGTTGTAGCGGGGGAGGGGAATGAGCTGAACCGGTGGCAGCACCGCACAAGCCTGAGCGAGAGATGGCTGGAGCTGCAGGGCTGTCAGGGCTCAGTGGAAGCGCCAGGATCAGCGCTTCTTCAGGGCTGTCAGGGCTCAGTGGAAGCACCAGGATCAGTGCCAGGCTGCAGCTGGAACTTGGCGCTGATCTTGGTGCTTCTGCTGAGCCCAGAATAAGCGCCAATCAGCTGGAATGTTGCAGCATCTCCAGGGTCTTGTGATTTACATTCAGATGCTTGGCAACTGATTCATATTTATGATGGTCACAGTGTCCCAGGGTCATCTGAAGTGACCAAAACCTGCTGCAACCACCCAGCAGACGGGGGGGGGGGGGAATAAAAACCAAAAAACCCCACCCCACCCCCACTGCCAATCCTCAACAGAAATACTCACAGCAATGAAAACCTCAGACAGGAGGAAGAGCGCCGCCGGGTGGGCAGGCAGGTGTCTTGCTCGGCTGTGGCTTGGGGGACACTTTTTTCAGTGCCATTGTACCTTCGAACAGTCACTAAGCGAACTGTTGTAAGTCGAGGACTACCTGTACTTTATCACTTTTTTCCTTTTTTTTGGTCAAGTTTTTGACACCTTGTTAGGCGACTGGTGGTACTCGGATGTTGCCATATCCTAAAAGTGGTACAATGGGTGAAAAGGTTGAAAAGCCCTGCTCTAGAAGGGTTGGGAGAAGCAGAGGTATCTTCAGCTGTTCCTCATTATCTAATCATTTCTGAAATGGGATTCTGCTTGCATTTTAATATTGAAATAGCATTTATTTAGGTCAGCTCCAGGACTGTTGGACCCAAGAAATAAGCTCTTCTTCCTATCCTGTCTTCTTTCTGAGATCTGAAAGAGATTGATGCCTGGAAACCTACAGGACACTGAAGGATGTCAGATTTTGATATCCTTTTGACATCAGATTTTATTTCCGAAACTGAAGGTCTCCTGGTGACCTCAGCAGGGGATCCGGATGTACCCCAGGGAGAATGGTTATCTTAATAAAGGTTATGCTAAGATGGGAATTATTTCTTTCTAGTGAAATGGAACATATGTAGCTCAGGGTTAATCTATTCTTGATGCTCTCTGAGCTACTGTATATAAATGACCTATATTCAACTATTTAGAAAAAATACAGACAAAAACAAAGAGAAAAAAAATTCTTAAGAAATAGGAAAAACATGAAAAGTATCACTAGAAACTAAAACAGAAACTTTAACAGTTAAAAAAAGCAAAACACGGAAATTATATCCCTTTCTGTCTGTCTGTCTCTTGTCTATTTAAGGATAGCAGATGTCAGGCTATTCAATTTATATAACGTCTTCCAATTTTTGACAACGCTGTTATTTTATTTTTAAACTATGAATTAAGCCTAGAGTGTACAGAAAACACACAGTCTGGTCTTGCGTCTCTGAGAATTAGTAGCTGTCAAATTTAATAACAGCAACATTTATAATCTGGGCTACTCTTATTTGTTTCAAGGGGGGAACGTCACAGATTCAGGCTAGTTGGGGTACCACGTTAGGATAATTTCTCTGTGGGTGTCTTTGAGTCGTTCCTGTCTCCTGGCAATTGCCCAGACAAGATCCTGAGGTTTTCTTTGCCACAGTTTTGGAAGTGGTTGGCCATTGTTTTCTTCCTAGGGCTAAGAGGGAATGGCTGGATCAGTGGAGTATTCTTTGGGCGCCGCATGCTATGAAAATATAACAGATTTTTAAAGCTAGCTTTAAGGCTTATGTTGTAAGAATGCAACCAAGGAGACGCAGAAGAGTGAAGAATTGCTAGAATTCCCTAGAACTGCTAGAGCAGGGGTAGGCAACCTTGGCTCTTTTATGATTCGTGGACTTCAACTCCCAGAATTCCTGAGCCAGCATGGCTAAGCATGGAAACCTCTCCCTTTCCCCTCAGCATGGCTGGCTCAGGAATTCTGGGAGTTGAAGTCCACCAGTCATAAAAGAGCCAAGGTTGCCTACCCCTGACCTATATCAGGGCTCTTCAACCTTGACTAATTTAAGACTCGTGGACTTCAACTCCCAGAATTCCTGAGCCAGCCATGCTGAGGGGAAAGGGAGAGGTTTCCATGCTGGCTCAGGAATTCTCGGAGTTGAAGTCCACGAGTCTTAAATTAGCCAAGGTTGAGGAGCCCTGATATAGGGCAGGGATAGGCAACCTTGGCTCTTTTATGACTCGTGGACTTCAACTCCCAGAATTCCTGAGCCAGCAATGCTGAGGGGAAAGGGAGAGGTTGCCATGCTGAGCCATGCTGGCTGAGGAATTCTGGGAGTTGAAGTCCACGAGCCATAAAAGAGCCAAGATTGCCTACCCCTGAGCTAGTCCATTGGTCTATTGCTCTCAACATTAGGAAATTTCTCCTTCGTTCTAGAAGCAACCTAGCACTGAGGAGAAATTTCCTGACAGAACAATTAAGCAGTGGGACAACTTGCCTCCAAAAGTTGTGGGTACTCCATCATTGGAGGCTTTTAAGAAGAGATCGGACAGCCACTTGTCTGGAACGGTATAGGGCAGGGGTAGGCAACCCTGGCTCTTTTATGACTCGTGGACTTCAATTCCCAGAATTCCTGAGCCAGCCGTGCTGAGGGGAAATGGAGAGGTTTCCAAGCTGAGTCACGCTAGCTCAGGAATTCTGGGAGTTGAAGTCCACGAGTCATAAAAGAACGAAGCTTGCCTACCCCTGTGCTAGGGAAATACAGGTAGTTAGTCCTTGACCTATGACCACAATTGAGCCAGAATTTCCATTGCTAAGGAAGACAAATTGTTAAGTGAATTTGTCCCATTTTATGACCTTTCTTGCCACGGTTGTTAAGTGGATGACTGCAACTCTTAAGTTACTTAAACTGTTGTTCAGTGATTCTGATTTACCCATTGGCTTTGCTTGTCAGGGAGGTCACAAAAGGTGATCACATGATCCCGGGCCACGGCAACCGTCATAAATACGAGTCAGTTGCCAAGCGGCTGAATTTTGATCACGGGACCATGGGGATGCTGCAACGGTCGTTAATTGTGAAAAACGGTTGTAAGTCACTTTTTTTCAGTGGTGTTGTGACTTTGAACGGTCACTAAATGAACTGTTGTTAAGTCGAGGACCACCCGCACATTGTTGATTAAAACTGCAATTCCTGTTCGTAACTGGCTGCAATTGCCAAAGTGAAATTTTGTAATCCAGTCAACGTACAGTCTAACTCCTTGCACTTTCTGTATCTCTGTTAAATGTCCCCAATCCAACTGTTAGACCAGGGGTCTTCAAACTTGGCCTTTTGATGACTTGTGGACTTCAACTCCCAGAATTCCTCAGCCAGGCACGCCTGGCTGAGGAATTCTGGGAGTTGAAGTCCACAAGTCATCAAAGGGCCAAGTTTGAAGACCCCTTTGTTAGGCCATCGCTCTACTCCTTACACAATAAACCTATTCCGAAATCTATCCTCTTCCCTACAGTTACATTCCTATCTGAAGTTCCTTGGGATATTGCAGAGTTAAATAATAGAGATCTACATAGCCTCTCCTTCCCCTTGGCGAAAAAGTTCGCCTTAAACAGTGTTTCTCAACCTTGACAATTTTAAGGCATGTGGACTTCAACTCCCAGAATTCCACAGCCAGCATTGCTGGCTGTGGAATTCTGGGAGTTGAAGTCCACATGCCTTAAAATTGTCAAGGTTGAGAAACACTGACCTTAAATGTCCTGACTTTCTCAGAAATGCAAGGAAGAGAAACGCTCATTTGCTGCAGGGAAGAGTAGCTGGCAGGCAATTCTCCTGTCTCTGCATTCCCTTCTCTTTGCCAGCTGGAAAATCCCAGAGTCAATCTAGGTCACCCTGCAGAATCA